ATCTCCACTGATTATCCAACAATAAGAAAATAATAAAATTCCAAATATTGGAATTGAAAATAATTCCTTGCTTTCTGGAGTACAATGACGTGTTCAAAATGAAAGGTTGATGTTTTAAATAGTGTTAGGTATTTAGTAATTTGAAAGAATAGTGGAGTCCCGGATCCCACGGTAGATTGGAAGACCCAGAGCTTGTGGAACCAACTTTATATCCTCCCAGGATTATGGCACACCGTTAGAGACTAACCCCGGGCTAGTAGAACTCGCTACAAATCACTCCCCGGTCGAAGGAAATGGCGAGAGACCGTTCTTGGCTCGTCAGACCGAATCTGAAACTCGAGGGAGATCGTTACGGAGTAAACCAGCTTCGTAGAATACATCTGGGTCATAGGAAATAACCAGGGAAGATCTCAGACTTGTGGGACCCAATTCGAACCACTCCAGATTCGTGGAAGGCCGTTATAGAGCGTTTCAAATTTACCCTAGGATCATGAAAAGCCACTAGGAAGAAATACCGGGCTTGGATTCCACTCCGGACCACCCTGAGGTCGTTGAAGGCACTCGAAGGAGCTCGCAGTCAACTTCCATGGACTGTCCACGAACCAGAGGACCCTTGCACCGGGACCAGGGCGATCCCGCGAATTAAGGTGAGGTCTGAATCCAGGTCTATGTGACCCATAAATGGAATTTGAGTCTTCGAATTCTGCAAGCTTCTTTGCCAATTATTGGTAACCACTGATGGGATCCACAAATTAAATACAGTCGTCTTTCTATTGATCTCTCGTGAATTCCGATATGACCTATACCGTGATTTTGTAATTAGGAATCTTTCATAATTTTTGTGACATTTTGAAGTCCTAAATAAAATGGAGGACTATTTGTAGGATATAGGTATCTCGTCAGGATGAAAGATACCAATCAGCAAGCCTCATGAGGGACTCCCATATATTATATAGTCCATCACAGATACGTGGCTTCCTCTAAGTTAGCCTAATGCTGATATTAATATTCAAATCACTAGTTTTGTTTTAACTTTATGACCAGTTTATGAGGTTTAATGTGATGAACTTTTACACGTATAACAGTCTTAGTCCAAGATCATCGTACGTTTAGTATCATTTAGTGACATTGAAAGCTAACATAAACTTGGTTTTGAGGTTCTGTCCTGATAAGGAGGAGGAATGGAAAGAACGGTCAGTAGCCTAAGCTGGCTGAAAGGAGGCATGTGATTGGGGATCTTCTATAATTTTTGTGACATTTTGAAGTCCTATATAAAATGGAGGACTATTTGTAGGATATAGGCATCTCATTGGGATGGAAGGTACCAATCAGCAACCCTCATGAGGGACCCCCATATATTATATAGTCCATCACAGATACATGGCTTCCTCTAAATTGGTCTAATGTTGATATTACTATTTAAATCACTGGTTTTGTTTTAGCTTTATGACGTTTAATACACTGAAATTTTACACGTATAACAGTCTTAGTTCAGGATTATCGTACGTTTAGTATCATTTTGCGAGATCGAAAACTAACATAAACTTGGTCCTGTCCTGATAAGAAAGAGGAATGGAAAGAACGGTCAGTAGCCTAAGCTGGCTGAAAGGAGGCAGACTTTGTCGGAGATCAGCGACGAGCTGTTAGGCTGTTCGTCCCTTCGTCTCGTTTTGCCCTCTAAATCGGTTTAATCGAGCTCTCGTTAACTTCGTTATCGCTAATGCTCGTTGCAATGTAGCTAAGTGGCTGTTGCTGCCTCGAGCTGCACTGCCCCTACCCCTGCCTCCGGCTCGCATCCTTTGCCAATTACTTTACTACCGCCAAAGTCCTGATTCGATTAATCAATTAACGTAAGTTCATTCCGAGAGCGACATGCCTTCGGTCTAAGCAATCTGGCTGGTATAGCGTTCCTCTGCGACGCTCATCTTTTTAAACATTCCAAAAATATTTCCATTCTTGCATATTTACAGGCATGACACCTACCAAGCTTCCATTCTGACAGAAACTCGAAAATTTTAGAATTTTGCACAGAAACTACAATCACAGTTTATCCAATCTTTCGGTGAAAAATATAGCAGTGAGAAATTTTCAAATAATTTCGACAAATTTTTCATAATTATTATTTTTAAATGCCGTTTTTAATTTTTAATTTAATTTATGTATCGCTAAAGATTGCACAATTTATTGCAAAGAAGTAACGTTAAAAGTGGCTACCTACTTATTCGAGAAATTAATTCAATTTTAATCCCATCCTGCCCTTCATCTCGATCATTGATCCATTTCGTGTGACAGAAATTTAGACAACGGATTGATTTATGTACACGCGAGTGTGCTCGAAAGCACGAAGACACATTACGATTTCTTCGATGGAAGTTGACGGATTCTGTAAACACTGCGAGCTCTCGTTCGCCTAATGTCCACTGCGACGTAACACGGAATACCTTGGAAAAGCGGTATTCGCCGGGCACGAGAGGTTCACGAAAGTCACGGTTCCAAGGATGAGCTTGGTGGAAATTCCGGGCGGTGCTAAGTTGAATCGATCGAGTGGATCGTTTTAGTACGCTGAGTCTGCATCAGGGCCCCAAAGTGCAATCGAGTTCGCCGATTCCGAGAGAGCGTGGAACGTTACTCCGCTATTCAGAGATGCTGTAGGCGTTCTCTTCGTCTCCGTGCCTCTGTCTCTCTCGTTCCTCTGTTCGCCACTCAGCCTCTTCTCTCGCCGCATGCAATTACTCTGATTTCACCTTCAGAAACGAGTAATTACCATCTCCGGGCTAGTTATAATTAATAATAATGAATTCGACGTGTACTCCCCTCCTTCTCTCTTCTCCCATATTTCTGCCTTCGTTAGTCCCTCACTTTGTCCCTTCGTCCTCCATATCGTGTTCATTTAATCACACAAAGAACGTGAAAGAGCGTGAGAAGGGACACTCCCAAAAATGCAGGGAAATGTGGAACATTTTGTAAATTTGGTATATAACTTAAATCGAATAAGTACGATAGAAAAATATCGCAAAAATATTGGAAAAATTCGTATCGCTGAGTAGCGCATTGAGTCCTCTTCGGGATGCACCTGAATTTTGTTGCCAGACGCTTCTTGAGCGTGGAGTAGCGGTGCATTTGGAAGTTTCGGTAAACGCCACTGGCGGAAAAGCGGATTTCTCATTCCGTGAATCAGACCTGATGAGCTACTAAAAACGAGCTATATTGTCGCGCGAAGTTTAACTCCGTAATTCCGTCACACTCGCAGCCACACTCGCAGCTTCTAACAGGTAACACGTCCGAGCGCTAAACCTCGCAATTAAAATTTGTTTAATAATTCACCCGACAGCGATTTTTATATCACTTGGAAGGCAGGTACCTGCACAATCAGTGCAATACTTTCCCACACCGTGTAAAAATTAAGCAAAATCCCAAATAGAACGATTTACCAGCGTCGAGAAGGTTAATGCACACCTTCCGAGTTTTAAGGGCACCTCAACGTAAATATAGCTTCTCTACGTTCGACGAGTAGGAATAATCGGCGTTGGCGGAGCATTTAGGTGAGAAAGTTTTGATTTACGATGGGTGGGTGGTCCGATACGAAAGGTCGGATATGGTGGAAAAGTTTGCGACGGAGAACGCTCTATTAGTACCATTCGTTATTTTCTTTCCCGGTCCGCGAGCGAGCGTGCAAGAACGGCGAAGAAACATCCGCGAGTTGGTCGGTAAGAAAGAGCCGGATCCCCAGAAGGATATCCGTTCGCGGTTCAAGAGACTCGGCTCGCTTTTTCGTCGTGGAAAACTGGTTATTGATACCGCAGCTGGAACTTGCTCGGCGAGAGGGAACGGGGAGAAAGTTTCTGCACCGGTGGCGTAGCATCCCTTCCGGTGTCGAGTGCCGGCATTGATAAAAACATATTTGCCGGGGTCCAAGCGATGTTAACAACCTCGTATCGTTTGTCATTATTGCCGCTACGCGGCGCGGCGATCGACCGCCTGGCGGACGAGTGCGAAAACTTTCGCGCCGGTCAGCCGATGAATCGTGATTTCCCAGATAGCGTCTTAACTGGCTCGGGCTTCGGTGTCGCCGAAAATCTTGGCCGATTGCCGACCTTTGATCTCTCCTTTCCCGGCTCTGGCTACGTAGTCGGAATTTTATTAGGGCGAGAGGGACGCGCACAATCGGTCACGTTGCTTCCCTAATTTCTTCTTTACTTCGCGTCTTCGCGAATTTTCTAGTACGCGTTCCACGGACAAGTGCGAGCAAAGTGAGGTAGTGGGGAGGATTTTGATTTTATTGCGCACGTGGTACAGTGGCGAGTGCGGTTATGTGCACGCGTGGCGGGGTCAGTGAGGTTATGTAGTAGGCCTCGACAGGTGGCAACGTTTAGTACTACGATACGGAGGTTAGTCGAGAGCTTGCGTAAATTGCCATCAGAGGGTAGCCCTGGCGTAGCAAATATGGCCGCTGCTGTTAAGTTAATATCCCAGTGTTGGGATCAATCGAGGAATATCATTTTAATTGCTGCACGAGTAATGGAATATTTATAGGTAATTTTATTATCGATTTATATTACAGGTAATACAGGTGAAATTAGTATACACGCATTATACGTGTAATATTCTTATAATGTAGTCGTATAATATAAATTTGTATATGCATATTTCTAATATTCGTAATATTCGATATATATGTTTCGTCATCTTTCTTCGTTTATGTTGAAAGTCACGTGTACTCTGCTTCGCCTACTACGACAAATCATTCGACCAGCCATGTGACCAGTCGTGTTAGGCCGAGCGTCGAGTAAAGATTTGTAAACATACCGGGAGCAGTAACGACATAACCTCTGCGCGTTCGAAATCGCTGTAAGAATCGACGTGAACGTGTTTCCAGGTTCACTACTACATAGAAAAATTGATTTCTGTTGCAGTGTTTGAGTGTTAGCGCGATGGATACGTCAAGGAATCGACCGTGGCTGAGAAGAATGGCTGGTCTACTCTGGCTCGTCTTCCTATTTGTCGGAGCTTCGGCTGGCACTCTGGAGAAGCTACACGAAGGTGAGTCTCGCCAAATATTAACCAAATCTCTCTTTGTTTAACGAAATTTCAATTCAAATGAATATTCAATACCCTGGTACCGCGATTTTCATCGTGACCCAGGGGTCTTTCGGAAAAATTGATTACCGTGAAATCTGATAACGCGAAAACGATATAATGCACACGCGCGTGTACGTGGTGCGCGAAACACCGTTACCCTATCCCCGTGTGGGAAAGTGAAAAATATAGAGCGAAAAGTCATTATCATTCCTGTCCCTGACGCCTACGTTTGCATGGCGTCACCGACAGGGTTCCCGTGACGATGATAAATTTCCGTTTAATGCATCGAACAGCTCGCGAGATTTATTACGTCCGCAATAGCAGAAAATCGGTCTTTATCGGTAACATTGCGCCGCGATAGCTCAGCGTCGTCGAAATTCCCAAAATTCCTCACGTTCCTTCCGGAAGCGTCTACTGGAAGTCTTGGAAAGTTTCGTTACGCTACCTACGGGGTACATTGCGTACACAGGGTGGTTTCCGAGGACCCTCGAGGCAAGAAAGGCGTGGAAAATGTACGAGTGGCGAAACGACGGGAGATAATCGTAAAAGAAGCAACTCTTCGGCGTCGGGCCACTTTAAGCTGCGTCCGCAACGCGATAGTGGCGAAACGACGGGAGATAATCGTAAAAGAAGCAACTCTTCGGCGTCGGGCCACTTTAAGCCGCGTCCGCGGATCCTTCTTCCGGTTTGGCCCCTTCGGGCTGCTCTCTCTCTCGTTATCCCGATTTCGTAGCGCCATCAGCGAGACACGGGAAAGCGTTAACGATCGCGGGATAGCACCATATGATTTAACCATAAATTCGATCTGCATAACAAGGCGACCCCTCATGAATAAAGTCATTCGTATTTCGATATTAATCACGCCTCGCCACGCCATCCGGAACAACGAGTTTAGAGGTGTGCTCTCCCTTTCATCGCGCCTCCGTTTTCCTTCTCCGCTCGCGCGTTCCGCGTGAAACGCGCCTCTGTCAGCGTCCCGACGCGTCTCTTTCGCGCCGTCTGCTCGTCTCGTTCCACGGCTATCGGGAATTTCAGCCGCCGCGCCGCCTGTCCGCCCGTTCAAATGCTTAAGAGTTATTCACCGGCTGTTCGATCGTTCGTTGCGAATTAATAACGCGTCATTCCAAGCTGAAAATTTTATTCACCGTATTGCCGGTGGAAGCGTAATGAAGTTTGCTCGCGATGTTTCGTTCAATAGTCGGGTGAATCGTCAGAGAGAAATACAGTGCATTATTCGATACCCCGTGGTACGTTTTCCTTTCCTGTTTCAGAGGTAAGGAATAAAATTGGTGATTCGTTGCTGGTGATTAGAAAATTTCAAAAATTTTTTAATCAATTGTGTAATGTATAATACGAATTACGTATTTTTGAGATCTCGTCGTTCTTTAAATCTTCATCGATGCGAAAATTTTTGAATTTTCCGCATTCCAATTCCGCATTTTGGTTAGTTGGCTTTGCAATTTTTCTTGTGAGGTATTCTCTTCTTCTTCGAGGTTTCTATTGTTCTCTTATGAATAATTTGACAAAGACATGTGTTTAACTCTTTGAGGTATGCTGGGATTAAAAGTATCCCACCATTTTGGTGCACGGTAATGCATAGTGAGTATAGTGTACCACTGTAAGGGCAATCACTCAATGGTTTTCCAGATATTTGTGATTAGAGTTTTATTATTTTTAATTGGAGATTTCTTCTGAATAATTATCGATAATTACCAAATGGCATTGTGGCCTAACAGCAACATCTGAAAATTTCCACTAGCATTTCGGATGTCGCCTTTAGGCCACAACGGCACTTGATAAATATTCGAAATAAACCTGTAATTAAGGCAATAATAAAACTCTAATCATGAGTATCTAGAAAACTATCGAGTAATGATATATTGCTCTTATAATGCCCTTACAATTTTCTTGAACTGGCAGACTAAATCTACAACCCAGCAAAATTTCATCTAAATCCCTAACTCGAAGGATTTGCACTCTCCTTGTTAGTTCAGTTGGATAATCATTAAATCCTATAATCATGAAAGCGGTCTAAATCATCGACTTAAGAGCAACGATTTTATTATTCATTTCATGTTGTATTCATTTATATTACGAAACAGTGAAGAATTGAATCCTTAAATTGAGTTTGTATCTTCATCGCAATGAATTTTATAATTTATGACGTATCTAAAGGTCGAAGCTTTTAATATTTCAGCAACAAACATAAGTGACATAGACCACTTTCATAATCGTAGGCACAATTCTTCTTCAAATTAATTCTAAATCAACTCGCTGCCTTTCCCAAAATGCATAAAAATTGTAGAAAAAGGCGTAGCTTTAATTCTCGCTTAATTCTTAATAGTTAAACGTGCAAGAGAATCTATTACTCGGAGGAATTAGAATATTAGAATATTACTAGGAATATCTCTCACCGCCTCCGTTCTCCTAACTGCATTATCTCTACCCGCCAGCGATAACTTCGTAGTAACTAACCCTCCGCAAGCGAAAGCCAAAAATCCCGCGAAACGATCTCCGATTCCGTTCTAATTATCTCAACTTAACCGAACTAACCTCGCCGGCAAGAACCACACGCGTATGTTCCCACGATCGCACGTAGCTCGACGCGGAGATAGGATCGGGGCGCTGGAAGAAGGTCGAGCAAAGTAATTTCTGATAGCTCCGAGTAGCGAGGGATCGATGGACGTATATCAGGTGTACCGATCGTAATTAGAAACATTCGAGTAAATGGACGCCGGGTACGGGATCGGGGCTTCCCGTTGTTCGACCGATGGACGCGACGACCGAAACGGTTTTATCGAGTTTTCCAGAGAATTATCTATCGCGACCGCGGCAGATAGAGTATCTACGTCTTCCGGCCGATAGGTCCTCCACTAGCCCCGTCTCTCTCTGCTTCCTGTCTCTTTGCTCCTCTTCTCTGCCGGAGCACGCCCGTTCCCACCCCCTTCCCTGGGAGCCAGCAAGCTCCGTTGCAACTTCCGACTGAATAAGCATCACCTCACTTCCGTTTCCGACGATGTAGCCTTTGACGTAATACGTACGCTCTCTGTGTCCCGTTCCCTCTCGCTGTCGCTCTCTCTCTCTTTCTCTCTCGACTGCTTACCAGCGTATCTACTTCCTCTTTGATACTTCCCTTTCCCTTCCAGTCCCTCTTCTGCATTTCTTTATGCATCCAGAAACTATTCTTTGCGGTGTTACCATTATTGCCGCATCTTCGGCCATGGTCTCCTTCCTTTAATGCCACTCGTCCAGCTTTCAATCCGTTCTTTCTTTCAACCGATACCACCACCCCCGCCTTTGCTTCTTCGCTTGACGCTTCTCCGAGCATCCGGAGTGCGCTTCACTAGTCGTTCTCAAATTTTATTCAGTCCTTGGATGTTTGCGAGATGCTGCACCTTTAGATGCTACGCTTTGACTCCTCTGTGGTATTATGTGGAATCTTAATCGCGAAATTGATCATCGGTTGCTAAGCCGATTCCGGATCGTTGCTTTATGCTAGCGTTCTCTCCCAGTGCGATTTAACTCGAATTTTGATTAGACAGGGGTCAGGGGTATGAGAAATACCTGCAGATGGAATTATCCGTGGATGAAAATAGTATAAATTCTCGACACGAGAAGGATTGATATAGATGATGATTTAATTTTGTTGAACGTAGAATACGTCATGCATAATTCGAGTTGTGGTGCCATGAGTATTAGCAAGTTGCTCGAATTGAATTACGAAGGCTAAATAAAGATCGAGTGTCTATTAACGTCTCGTCTTATGCATTTGCTGTCATAAAACACGCGCTGTAACCGAGCTGGTTAATTTAATTCCACGCCAACTGCACCAACTTCGATCCTCGACTGGAAACCAGAAGTTCTACCAGTGGAGAAGAAACGTCGCTCATGGTTATGGTAGAATACAAATGCGACTCTTATTTTCTACTCCGTCATAGACAAACTTCTCGCCGTGTTGTTAAAACTTTCCACGGCTCTAAATTCAATCCTCCGCGCCCGGTTTTGATAACCGCTTGCGAGCTCCGCGACGCGGAACTTGGTCCCAGGCTGACGAACGGGATCGTGGATCGTTTGAATCCGTCGATTAACGCCCAACACGCTCGATTTAATGGCTTGACAGCGTGTAGCCTGTCACGACTCCATTAAAGATTCTACGAACGTCCTCCGGCGTGCCGGAGATTCGAGGAGAGCGTGCGCGTGGATATTAGCCGGATCGGGAATGAAAAATGGCGACAATTATGCGGCATAACGGGATACATAGCGATGCATCAAACAAGCTTAATCTCTCTGCGTGGCGAGTCCGATAAGCTGCGCGCTTTTTCGCGCGAGCTAGACACGCGTCCGGCCGCAGCTTTGTTCCTCCTCCGAGCGTGTTCAACGCGTTCGCCACCCCGCTTCCGGTACGCTTCCGCCATCACGGCGTCCGTGAAAAATTGCATTTCGCCCGCTGCCGGTCTGACCGGTGGAGCGTCACGAACGATGACGATGAAATCTCGCTTCTTACCGATCGTCTCCGTGTATTCCATTTTCTCGGAAAATCCCCCTCTCGTCTCTTTGTTTTCGTATCCGATGAACACGCGATATCCCAGCTTCCGGTACCCTCCACGGGCCACGTTCTCCTCTTAGTCGCTGCATCCGTCTTTTTCCAAGCGACCTCCACGTTGTACCAGCAACTTGTACTTCCTCTCTCCGCGGAAACGTCCGCATCCATCATCCGAGGAAACCGAATCTCAGCCGAGGCGGCCCTCTAGCTGCGCTTTCAACCACGTCGCTGGCTATGTTCGTTGTGGCTCAGACACAGTAGTGAACGATCTACCAGATGACGGATAATTTTAACGACAGAGTTCAGACCAACTTTGGAATTTAGGATTTCAATTTTAGCTTTTATCCTCGTGATTAGGGGTTGAAGACTTGCTTCCGGTGGAGACCATCTATATTTTGGTCTTGGTTGTCAGAGTATC